TATGTATATATATATATATATATGAGAAAAAAGGAGGGAAAAGAAGGTTCTGATTCCTTAAAAAGCAAAGTTAGAAACAGATTTCTTTTTTTTTTTTTGGCTAGGCAATGGGGTTAAGTGACTTGCCCAGGGTCACACAGCTAAGTGTTACATGTCTGAGGCCAGATTTGAACTCAGGTCCTCCTGAATCTAGGCCTGGTGCTCTATCCACTGTGCCACCTAGCTGCCCCTTAGAAACTGATTTCTAAAGAGTAAGAGTAGCTAGTGATAATTTCTAGTATTTCATTCAAATTAGCTTCTGCATTAATTTCTGGCTTCCAAAGAAATGGGTCACATGGGGTGGGAGGATAGGGGAATAAAACAATATCTTTGGAAAGAGATTATCATGGGGTTTTAGGTCAGTTCAGGGAGAAGTACTGAAATTCCCCTCCCCCCCTTTTTTAATGCTTTTGCCACAAGAGAAAGAAGCAAGGATTAAAAGAATTAAAAGGAGTTTTTTCCCTGAGGAGTTAATTTGAGTACTATCTCCCAGAATAGGAGAAAACTCATTATAAAAGCTAGACTAAAGAAAACAAAGTCATTAAATTAGTTAAAGTAAAGTTATTTTACCTAAACTCCAAGATGGGGTTGGAAATAAATTAAGCAATAACTTAGTGGTTAAGATTGATGACCAGTACCAGCTTATACCTGGAAACCTGGATCTCCTTAATTTTTTTCTAATTGCATAAATATGTATGCATGTACATGTGTGTAAATATATATACATATGCATATACATACATAAATGTGTGTATATAATTATACTGAATAATATTAAAATTAACAAAGCACTATTAGGGCTGTAATTTTAATAGAAAAGTCTGTTAATAAGTCCATGGAAGCATGTGCCACGTACACTCTAAAATCAATGGTGTCAAACGCAAATAGTAACAGATTCCTGTGGGCTGCATGTTGACTTAGAAAACCACAAAGTAACATTATCTGTGTTGCAATGTATTTTCATATATTTTTGTTAAACATTTCCCAATTACATTTTAATCTGGTTCAGCCTTTTGTGGGCATTCCGGTGGGCCCAGGAGTTTGATACCTTTGCTCTAAATTATCCATGCCTATGGAGATACAGCATGGTGTAGTAGATAGAGGAATCCTTGACCTGGGTTCAAGTCCTGCCCTTGACACAAACTAGCTGTGTGACCATGGGCAAGTAATTTCTCTCAGTGCCATAGGCAACTCTCTAAGACTTTGAGTTAAAAAAGAGTTGCTAATTGGTAACAATAGAAGGTGTTCTACACTTAGATTTCCCCACACTGATGAATCATGGAATTGGACAAAAGTAGAAAAAAAATAAAAAGAAATCTAGCCAGTTAGAGCATGTTAACATAACTAGAAAAGTAGTGGCAGTTTTCCAAAGTATAGGCATAATGCTTAGGAAAAAATTAAGACTGATGAAGGGCAACCCTTTCAAACCTAAATCTATGGACTAACAACAAACATTTCACCTCCCAATAAAAAAAGTGTGGCAAAAGTCCACAAATCTCAACTCAAATCTTCAGAGACAATGGTGGTTAGGTCAGCACACAGCAACACATTTTATATAACCCAAGATACAATGCCTAGACTCGAAATTTTCTGAGAGGAAATTCTGGATTTTCCTTTTCTTTTCGGACTTCACTTTTCTGTCTCAGAACCTATGCACACAAGGTAAATTCAACAAGTGAAAAGGACTGTTGATTACAGACTTTCTAAAGGAAGGTTTTTCTCTCCTTCTTTACAAAAGGTAAGAGTTCTTGGGGCAGCTAGGTAGCACAGTGAATAGAGCTCTGGCCTTGGAGTCAGGAGGACCTGAGTCCAAATCCAGCCTTAGACACTTAACACTTACTAGCTGTGTGACCTTGGGCAAGTCACTTAACCCCGATCGCCTCACCAAAAAAAAAAAAACAAAACTAAAAGGTAAGAGTTCTGAATGAAGATTGAATCTTCACCTTTAAGCCAAGGCTTTGGAAAGTCCTTTCCTCCAACCCCTCATTCAAAAACAACAACAAAAACAGGACTAAAGCCACAGGTTTACTTACTTGTCAATGCACACTTTAATTTTAAGTTGATAGTTTAATTCAGGAAATTTGACCAATAACCTATTAAAAAAGTCAATACAGTTTCTTAATAGTCACATGAAAACAATTACATTAGGGGGCAACATAAACCAAAGACTGCCCAAGAGGAAGAAAAGTCTAATTCCATTATGAAACCCTTGTTTCTAGTAAAAAAGTTTGACATTCTGTTCCTCAAAAATCATGATGCCAAATTACACTTTCCCAAACACTAAAATACTGTCTTTGGCATCTGAATGTTGGGTATTTGTAATGTATATAGAGAACTCGAGAACTCAAGAACTAAGGATTAAGGCATACTGGTACGAGGGGGCAATGAAAATGTCTGTAAAAGCAACTTCATGAAAAGTGTTACAGAGAAACATATGTACCGTGGCTTAGATATTGCTTACTAAACCTGAAACCCAAAGTCATATTAACTGCATTTCTGCAGAGGGAAATTTTAAGGGTGGCAGGGCAAAACTTTACCTCACCTGCTTGAGGACGAAAGTGTGAAATTAACACTCCCACTTACAAGCCCAAGTGGTATCTGCTATAGGTCTGCAAGGTGACATTTACTTTAACCTTTAACAGACTCTAAGGTCATGAGACTAATAATCAAAAGAAGGATAGGGCTTCCTCAGACAGCTAAAAGGAGATGACTCCAGTGGCCCCCTGGCTTTCTCAATAACTAAGCATACATCCTTACTCTGAAAGTCAAAAGAGACCACCGGCCAGTAGGACTCTCTGCTGACCCCCAAGAGAATAATATGAACAGGAGGCTAGGAAATAATCTGCACCATTTATTGTTGTTGTTGGGGAAGGATGAAGTTATCACTGGAGACACTGGGAATCCTGCCAACTGGCCTAGAATCACAGATATATGCTGGATAGATTTGAGGGAGGCCCATCCTTGCTCCTGACACTGTCGTCAAATGCAAAACCACATCCCTAAAGTTGTGGGTTACCTACCCATCTAGAAATATAGAACCTTTTCCAGGTAACAATTCTGCTCCCACCCTAAGAATAGACAGACATGACCCACCTGACTTTGGTAGTGAACTGAACACCTGTCTTGATGACCAAGGGCCGATCAGGGTGCATAGGCATGCAGGGCTGCCGCTCTACAACAAAGGCACTGAAGGGAGAAGAGCAGGGAAAGGAGGAAACATCTTAGACACAGGACAAATTTTAGGCCCTCCTAAACTTAAAGTTAAACAGGTTAACTTCTCCTAGGTGATGAAGTCCACATTACCTTTTCATTAAATTCCTAAAGAGCTCCACAATTCTCTCTTCCAGCATAGGTCGGTGTTGGACGATGGGGTCACCTTTGTAGGAGACTTTCTGCTGTAATTCCTCCAGCTTCTTTATCTGCTGACGGGTCTGGAGCTGAGATTCGGCTAAGGAAGTTATCCTGCAGATAACACCAGTGACTCCATGTTATATTGGGTGTGTGTGTGTGAAGGAGGTAAAGGAAGGTCAATTTTCAAGGAAGGAGAAAGGAAAAGAAAGGTTAACAGCAGAATCCCAGAATAAATACTATCTAAACACTCCCCGTACTGCAGGGAGCCCCTCTCTATTGAAGGAACTCTACTTACTTTGCAATTTAAAAAATGTAAAAAGGAATCTTTGGAAAGCTTTTATTTTGAGATCAAAGCTTATATTATTAGGAAGCATTATGAAGCTTGCACTTAAAAATGATTTACAAAATTGAACGCTGGAGTCCAAGGACAAAGGATTTGAAATTTAGGGTTGGATTTCTCCACTGATAAATGTGTTCATGAGAGGTAGCATGGGGTGGTGGCAGAGGGCTAGCCTGGAGACAGAAAGACCTGAGTTCATGCCCTGCCTCTGACATATGCTAGCTGAGTGCCTTAGGCAAGTACCTTAGCCTCTCAGTGCACCTCATAGTTATTAGAGGCAGCTGGGTGGTACAGTGGGGAGGATTCTGGGCCTGGAGTCAGGAAGGCCCCAGTTCAAATGTGGCTCACCACTCACTAGCTGTGTGACCCTGGGCAAGTCACTGTACCTGTCTGACTCAGTTTCTTCCTCTGTAAAATGAGAATAATAACAGCACCTAACTCCCAGGGTAATTGTGAAGATCAAATAAGATAATTGTAAAGCACTTTACAAAATTTAAAGTGCTATATAAACACTGTTGTTATGATAAACTACAATATTGAAGGAGGTTTCCACATCAGTAGTTGCTTAGAGATATGAAGCCATACATCCAAACAACAACAAATTCACTCTTCTGAGACAGTGATAACACCTATGCAAACAGATGCGGGAAAGGTCAGCAAGGCCGAGTTCACCCTGACATCAGTGAATTAGTGGATAAAACAAAGAACACAAGTGGTTAATGGCACTCATTTTAGTGTTTTCTCTCAATGGTTCAAGACATATAAAAGGGTCTTAAAACAACTAAAGACCCAGAGAAGGAAGACAAAGCAACCCTAGGGATTACTGAACTCCCTACCCGGCTCTTAGCTCTCCATCTTGACCACTGAATTCCTTCTATTCCTAGTACTTTCCCCCATTCCCTCATAAAAGAAGCATTTTAAAACACTTTAATTGATCACAAAACTAAATCCCTGTGTGTGTGTATTTTTCTGAAGCTGGGTTTCCCTGCTGCCTGACATGAAGCTTGGACCTGCTCCATTTCTAACCATCCCTGAGCAGCCTCATGGCCCCCTGCTGCTGGAGGTTCACGACACTGGTGACATACTTAGTAAAGACTCCTAATTGGCTTTAGTTCAGCTTCTGACCTTGATCAATCCACCAGCCTCAGCATTGGCCTTCCCAGTAGCAAGGACTACCTAGGCCCACCACCACGCCTAGAATAAATCTGTGTACTTAAAAGTCCTCGGATTTAGTGTTTAGTCTTAATCCACGGCCAGGGCTTATATCTCCGACTATATCCATAGTCAATACAGCTCTAGAGAAAAGAGCATAAAAGCTCCTCTTTATCCTTTACCAGTTTTCTAGGCGATCCAGGCAGATGTTGGGAGGACCTCCAATACAAGCAATCTGTTGTCTCCTTTTCCAGTCAGCCAGTTCCTCATCTGTGAGAGTCTTCTGTACATACTCCATGGCTGAAAGAAGCCCTGCTAATTCACTCACAATTCCCTGTTTGGAAACCAGATGGGAAATATTCTGATATAGATTTTAACTGTCCCCTACAGTCAGGTCAAAATAAGGAAGTTGTGAAAAGTGGGAAAAGCAATGCCATGCTGTTACAAGGGAGCACTGCTTGTGACAAGGATTTGGAGAAAGTGCCTTGCTCTCCTACCCTCCGCATCTGGTCGAGGGCAGTCAGCATCTGCTCCAGCTGTTGCATTTTTTGCCTAGTCACCGACTGGTTGTTTCCATTTAGATCTTGCATATCTGTTGAGGAAAGGTAGATGCTAACTAACCAGTAGACAGACTCTATCAAGCCCTTAGTGCTCAAGCATCAACAGCTTCTGATAGACCCAGAGCCTAAGAGAGGGTGAACTAGTCACCAAAGCCTCTTCCACCCCACTTCCCCTCACCCCTCTATACTGAACTGTCACTTTGTAGAGGATTTTTTTCTAATATCTCTAATAGCTACGTGCCTCCTTGACTTTTTAGCGTCTTGTAGTTGAAATCAAAGTCATCCTGGAGATTCTCCACCACTTTCATCTTCTGTTCCAGATCCTGCAAAACACCCCATATGAGAATTCTTTTTTCTGGGGGGAAGGTAGGGAAAAGATGGAAGAGACAGAAATAAATGTTCCCTAGAGGGAACTAAAATGAACCTATACCCTTCAAGTAAGGCATACAGACTGAAGTGTCGCCACAGAACTCTGGAGGAGTGGCTCCTTTTGGGGCCAGGCTCATTTACCTGTACTCTTTTCCTCACATCCTGCAAGTGCTGCTCTAGCATCTGCTGTTTTTCTGTCACCACAGCAGCTGTGGGGTGGTTGGCTTGCCCTCCTTGCTGCCATAAAGGGAACAAACAAATATGTGGGTACAGGCACAAAACAGGGAAGAATCACAGTCTCCAATCCCAGCACCACCCTGCAACGCTGCCACACCAGCAGAACACTGAACACTGAAGCTGAAGTGAGCCTGGCATTGTACCCAGCAGCCAAGGTGCTCCCAATGCTCCCTGGGTGCTGCTGGCCTGGGTATCAGCAACACTGACATCCAGCAAAAACAACTATAAACTTCAGGAAAACCTATTCAGAGGCACTCTGGACAAGGCGATTGTGATCTTCATTTCTGTCTGTAACTCCATGCTCAGTAGAGTGCCTGGCCTATAGCAGGTGCTTAATAAATATTTGGTGAAGGAATAAAAAAGATATGTTTCCTGCCCTTAAAAGTTTATATTCTAAGATATGTAAAGAAAAAGAGAGAAAGAGACAGAGAACACTTACCAGAAGAACTCCTGAAGAATGCAGAAGTTGAACACTACTAAGTACAAGTTGCTAATGGGGGAAGAATGTAAACTATTTTGTCCTAACGGCAGAACCAACACCTGATGGGGTTGGCAAATTGGAAACACCAAAGGTCAAATTAGTTGTGTTTTGTTTTTTTTTAAACCAGGAAAAGTGACATGATACACTTCTGGGAAATATAAATTAAGATGGTTATTCATAAAGCTGGAAATGAGCCACAAATATTCTCTGTATGAATGAAGAAACAGATGGATACACAAGGGACATCCCTACTTTCTTATACTTGGTATTCCTATCACAAGTTAGAAGTTTCAACCAAGGGACTTGAATCTTAAATCCCTTTATCCTATGGAATAGCCTAACACTATAACAGGGAGTACAGTACTAGTGTCTTGGCCAATCAGCACTGTATTCTAACCAAATGGGCTAAGCAACCTCAGGGTTTCATTCTTCACATGGGCCAATTAGGATCACACGGCTTCAAGATGGAATGGAGACTGCATCCCTACTTCCATCTATCTATCTCATAAATATATGTAAAGAGCGACCGTGAGAGAGTGTTGATACCTCAGTGCAAACCTGTTCCAACTACCAGAAAACATCCAGAGTACACAATCAACAATGCATAAGCAGTATTAAATTAGTACATAAACTCTTTTTGCTCTTGCCCATGTCTCACCTGGGCAGCTGTAGCTGCTGTCTGAAGGAGACGAGACTCCTCCCACAGGCACCGAGCCACAATCCTGGCAATCTCCATTGGCTTTTCAAGATATCTGCTCTATAAAGGGGGATAGGGGAGAGGGGGGGGAGGAGAAAGATGCAATCAAGCTAAAAAAATCAGTGCAGGTTATTCACTTTTTTCCTTTTTAAAATGCCACAGTAGGAATAGCATCTCTCCTGTCTCATTTGAACAGGCTATTTTATATTTTTGTTTTTGTATGCTGAGTCTAGCATGGTGTTTTGCACATACTAAGTGTATAGTATTTGTGGAATTGAACAAGGAAAGTCACAGATTCCCTAGAGTCATACAACCCCCTCAACTGTAACAGGACATATGCCTCAGAATGGAGCTAGGAGGAAGGGCGAAAGGCTGAGACGTGAGTTGTGGTTTTGTTCTGTTCTTTCAAAAGGAAAGAATTGCAGCTTGAGTTCACGGACACAGTCTGTTAACTTGGCTTCACTGCACCAAGACTGTTCAATTAACATCACATTTCCCAGTGTTACAGGAAAAGCTATGCCCCTATGTCAGAGCTATCTATTAACCACATGTGTTGCCATTCCAAGTGCAACAGGAGATGGCCTGAAAGTTCAAGTAACATAATACTAGTGCTGCATGTACTGAGATGTGAGAGAAGTCTATCACATCTCCTCTTGTTATTCAAACTGAAAAACCTCCTCTCTGATTGTATTCTGGTTATTTCAACAAAACATAAGTAGAGGAGTGTTCTCAAAGATAGGGAAAAAGCTGCTGGCCCTATCCTAACAGTCAAATTTCTTTTTCATTTTAGATTTTCTGCCCTACCTGCAGGAACTGCTTGATTCTCCGCAAGTTGTGTTGATAGAGGACATTTGACTCCTGAAGGAAGCGGCTATACTGCTGGTCAATCTCACCCAAGAGATTGTGGAAGACCAAGGTGGCATGTGACTCTTTACTGGCAGCATATGCCCTGGAAGGAATAATGGAATTAGGGAATGATCCGGAAAAACACACAGCTTTCGGGGGTTCACTCAAAAAGAAAACTACCACCAGCAACGGAAAATAAACAAGGAGCCATTACTATAACTCTAGAGTGGGTCTTATAAATTCCAACTGAAAGCAAGTGTTTGAATGCCACTGACCACTTTCACTTTCTAAATGGTTTCCTTAGTTGGTTTTAAACATATAATCAATGGGGCAGCTAGGTGGCGCAGTGGATTGAGCACCGGCCCTGAAGTCAGGAGGACCTGAGTTCCAATCCGACCTCAGACCAAACACTTGACACTGTGTGACACACTTGAGCTGTGTGACCCTGGGCAAGTCACTTAACCCCAATTGCATAAAAGTAAAAAAAAAATAATAAAATAAAATTAACATATAATCAATTCTACATAGGGATTATCTAGAGCAAAGGCTTAGTTCCTGGCTGATATTCCCTTCTCATCCAATGAAGTCCTGAGTTATTTCTCTTTTTCTACCTTACCTTGTCAGTAAGAAAACAAGCTTATAGTAACATCAGTTTAACCTGGAAAATGCTGTAAAAAATATTCCCATATAATATTTTAAAGCTGACTAGAAAAGACTTTTGATTCCTCTGCCATTGACCTTTCTATGAAAAAGTCTACATTGAACTCATTCTCCTACCCCACTAAATATTCCTTTTCCATTATTTTTTTCAAAGTTTTTTTTTTTAATTGAAGTTTTCTGTTTCTTACATCACCATAGTTTCCAATATATCCTTCCTTCTCCCCTTACCGGAAAGTTATCCCATTATGACAAATACTGGGATTTTTTTTTAGAGAAGAAAAAACAGTCAGCACAACTGATTGATACATTGACAAAGGCTAAAAACATATGCAATGTCCACACCTGTGGACCTCTCACTTCCATGAAAGGGAAGGTTTTCTCATGTCTCTTCATTCAAGTCCTACTGGTCCTTTATACTTTTGCTTCATTTACTTTTGATTTTTTGATGTGTCACTATTCTTTCCATTTACATTGTTTGAGTTACTGGGTACATTGTTTTTTTTAATTCTGCTTATTTCACTATGCATTAGTTCATATAGATCTTTTTTTAAAAATTAATTTATTTTGATTTATCAACAATTACTTCTATAAGCTTTTGAGTTCTAAATTTTTCTCAACCTCCCTCCCCACCTCCCTCCCCAAGACATCACACAATCTGATATACTCTATACATATACATTCCTATTGAACATATTTTCACATTAGTGATGTTGTAAGTAA